AGGCATGGAAAAGAAAACATTGAATTGTGGAGGCAAAGTCCTGCCCCCATGGAATTTAAAATCCTGTGGGGAGACGGCGCACAGCTGCTGACGCTCCGTCTGCACAGGACGAGGGTCAGCGTTGCCGCCTGGTGCTGAGACCCCAGCCTGGACAGACCGTGAGTAGGGTGGAATCACACCCAGCGCTGCCTCAAGGGTGGATTGACTGGAAATGAAATGCTTCCTTTAAAAATCCCATCTGTAAATACTTACATGAGAGGCAGTTAGAAGTTTTAAATTGTATTTGCTTTCAGGGTCAGAGGCAGCAGAAACTATTATATTTCCTAGAGAAATTAAAAAAACAAATGAAAAATAAAAGCTCAGACAGACAAAGCCAGATTACTTCCATTCAAAGAAAGTCCGCTCTTTTCCCCAGCCTCAGCATGGTGTTTACACGTCGCGTGAGATTCCTTAGTTAGGACATCTCTGGAATGCCCAGCGCGTGAAAGTCAGTGAGTGCGGAAAAGTGCCACAGACGCAGACTGAGCCAGGCTGCCACTGTGTGCTCTCCGGTAGCCAGAAGAGAGGATGTTGAATGTTCCCAACACAAAGAAATGGTAAATGTTTGAGGTGACGGTGTGCCCATCGCCCTGATCTGATCATGGTACATCGTGTTGAAACGTCACTGTGTACCCCATAATATGTATACTTATTATGTCAGTTAAAAAATCAAGCCTAAGAAAATGCTACTGTCTCATAGGATTGATGTGAGGAAGACCTATATCTCACAGCAGTGCCTAGCATTATAAATGCTTAATTGTGAAAGTGTAACATGAACATTTTTTAAATTCCCTGGGAACGAATTTTAAACACTGCAAGCTTCTCTTCTCAAATTAATAACTCTCTAAGTAACATAATGGATGAGCCAGGATATATTTACCAGGTACAGTGCCAAAATCCAGTCTATATTTCTTTGTCAAAATTAGTAGTAGGGAGAATACTTCTTTGTCATGGCAACGGAAAAGAAGCCAAACTCTGTAAAATAATTTTAAAGAGATTTATTCTGAGCCAAATTTGAGGATCATGACCCAGAGCCACACCCAAGAACCCTTGAGCAAGTGGACTCGCTCTGGTTGGGTTACAGTTTGGTTTTATACATTTCAGGGAGACGGGTTTCAGGTAAAGTCATAAATCAATATGCGGGAGGCATACATTGGTCTGACCCAAAAAGGTGGGACATCTCAAAGGGGGGCTTACAGATTATAGGTGGATTTAAAGACTCTTTGACTTGTAATTGGTTAAAGACATGAAGCTTTGTCTAAAGGCTTGAAATGTTTTAAGATAAGGAAGTCTGTTAGTCCCAGAAAAGCCACCGGATGTATTTGTTGTGTAAATTGAGGACCTGCAGGTTTGTCTTGCATACCTTTAGGCCTGTCAATGAGTTACAAAAGGATATTTCCTGGAAGGGAAGGGGGCATGATGAGGCATATCTGACCTCCCCCACTCATGGCCAGCAAGTGAGTTTTGGGTATCCCCTTGGCCAGGAGGGGGTCCATTCAGTCAGCAGGTGGTGGTGGGGCTTAAGATTTTATTTTAGTGCATGGTGAAGTATCCTTAAATCAGGTGTCTGGAGTTCTGTCTGGATGATTTGCTGCAAGGACTTAAAGGGCTCGGAAGTACCATCCTGCTCACTGTTACAGCTTCTTGCAGCGAGAGGACACAGATTGAAGTTAGCAAAGGAAAAGGTAGTGGGTGGGAGACACCAGGCGCCTGCGTGCTGCTCATGCTCCCTGCCGGGGAGTCTCACTACTGTGGGGCTTTTTACACAACTGGTCTCCAGCTTATTGCCAGGTATATGTTTGGCAAATAGGTTATTATTGGGAAAATATTATTTAGGAAGGTATTTTAATGAGCATGGTTCAGAGCATTCTGTGGGTACTTTATTAAGAGATGTGAGCTTGATATTTGCTTTAAAGTTTTTCTGAGTTTGTGGTTATCCAGCAAATTTGGGTCTTACAACTCACATGTCCAAGCAGATTTGACATTTATTTTCTAAAGTCCTTTTGCGGTCTCACCTAGTGGCCCCTGTTGGCTTCTCTCACATGGAGGGATGGCCCTGTGTTCAGTGCGGGGCCCTGTTAGGACACGTAGGTTCCGGAGCAGGTGTCACAGGGCCTCAGCGTGGCTGTGAGTTCAGTGCACAGGTTTGCTTTCTGTGGGCTGCCCCTAGGCACTTGTTTGGGAACAATTCCTGGATCTCTGGTGTGGATATCAACTGGCACTCGCTGGAGAGCAATGTCCATGGAGGGTTACCTCTTCCCCGCATATTCGGGTATTGCAGGATCATTCATTTCCAGGGCTTCCTGTGCATGTTTGTCATCTGTCTTTGGGGAGCATTTTACGTCCGTGTAGTCAGCAAGTGCTGAACGCCTATCGGAGATTAGGTATCAGGGAAGAGGAGTGGAGAAGCGCACACAGCTTTGGCTGTCCCAGAGCTAGACGTTAATCAGGTATAAATTATTGATACACACCTCTGTCTGTCTGTTTGTGTGTGTGTGTGCGTGGTCTCACGTGTGTAGATAGTGCTGTCCGTAATTACCGGTTGTGATAAATGCTAAGAAGGAAATGTACAGGGGCCATGCGAGTCCGCGTCCGGCAACTGAAATAACAGCGTGGTCTGGGGTCGTGGCCGTGGCTGCTTCTCCGGATGCTGACGGGTATGCAGGAGCCCTGCGCCGCCTGAGCTGCCGGCAGACAGGGAGTCAGGAACTGCAAGCTCTAGCCGGGGTGCTTCCACTGACTAGCTTTATCACTTACCAACCTCTTTGGTTTTGTTTTGTTTTTCACCTGTAAAATGGGGGAAAAAAGTGATCTGACATTTAAAGGCTTATTGTAAGAGTGATAGAGTCTAAATACCGAGACACACAAACCTGCATGTTAGTGTCCATGAAAGTGATTTGTAAGCCGCAAATTGGTATGAAAATGCTGTTATTTGCAAAGCATGCTGCTAAATTCTATGTTCTTGTGCAACACAAATGTATATTGAAAAAAAGACAAAATTTAATCACAATTTGATGAGTATATTATTAAAATTTTTGAAACTATACTTTTTTTTTTTGAAACTATACTTTTGATATATTATTTCTTCCATCTGTTAAGAAGTTTTGTGCTTCTGGGAAGCAGTGGGCGGGTGAGATCAGCTTCGTTTCATCCCTTCAGGACACACACACCTGCCCAGCACCTACTGCTCTAAAGTTGTAAAGTCTACAGAGCAAATCACCTTCGCTTTGAGACATTGAGCCATTTTTCATGCGACAGTCACTATATCTCGGCAAATGTAAAATAAATAAATAAAACCAAAGTTGTGAATTGGAGACAAGTGTGCTTTAAAATAATCCACATATGCTTTTATTTTGTTTTTCTCCAAATATTGAGAATTTTTGAGCTTTTAAAAATCACTCCTTATTTATTATAACAGGGAACATTTGTTCTATGGGAGATCATTGAGTACAAGGTCTCTAACTGTATTTGGAGAACTTTATCAATTATATTACCCCACTTGCCTGGTAACTTGGCTTCATAAATGCTAAAGTAAGGGTTTCTAATCAAATCTCTAATTGAAAATGCTTACTGATTCTGAAGGAGTCCATTTCATCTGTCATTTGTCTTACTAAATCATGACCTCCACACCTGCACGCAGGAAATGATTACAGCTACCCCGCCACAGCACAGAGGTGGAGCTCGGTACTTATGCACCGCTCCGGAATATCAGACCTCTCAGTCAGGTGCCTGCGAGGCATAAAGTAGAACGTCCACCTGATGAATTGGAAGCCCACAGTGCTCCTTCTCTTTCTGCGACCCCTGTCTGTCCTCCAGACAGCGCATCCCGCCAGGCAGGCTGACTGTGGCTCCACGGCTCACGGCCTCTGAAGGGTGGAGAACTTCAGATGGTGGGAAGCGCCGAGGCGGGGGGACAGGGCGGACAGGAAGGGCTCTCAGGGACCTCTGCTGAGCCCTGGGGAATGGTAAGAGCTCGAGGAGGAACAGAAGGAGCAGACGGGACACATCGTCAGGCAAGAGAGGCTCTGCTGGTTGTACGGGGCAGGAGAATGTCAGGGCGGTGGGGCAGCAGCAGAGGAGGAAGGCCCTGCTGAGGTGGGAAGAGACAGAGGTCAGTGTGTAGGGCCTCCTCAGCGCCAGTGTGGCGACCACGTGGTGGGCCTTGGAACCTACACGGCCTCATGACGACTGGACGGTGCGTCCTTGCCCACGGCTGTGCCTTCAATGCCTCTGTTGCCTGCAGTGGGGTGGGGGGCGGAGGGACTCCAGGATGACCCCAGGCCTACTGCCATGCATATCTGAAGTGAGTACCTTTATGAAGTTATTAAGTGTAAAGTTGCATAAAGATCTGAAACATTTATTTTTGTCAATGTTTCATTAACTTATACTTTATGAGACACAGCCAGTGAGTCACTGATTACATAACCGGTGGTAACTTAACTCTAATAATATAGAATGTTGTGAAATAGTCGAATAAATCCCAGGTTAGCTATAGGAGATCTGGATTTATATTGCAGTTTCCACCGACTAATTTGCTGTGGTCAATTCAGAAAATCACTTGTGTCTTAGTCACTGACAGTCGCAGTCAGTTTCAGTGACCAGCTTTTGAGCACTGTACTCAGTGCTGAGGCTTCGTCAAGGCCTCGGCGATTGTCCTTTGATTCTTACCTTTGCAAGGTGATTGTTCTTACCAGACGGGTGTGGAAGCAGACCAGGAAGTGTAAGGAAAGGCTGTTAACGGGCATCGTGGGTTTGAATCAAGGTCTGTTTACTTGGAGGGACGGGGCAGTCATGGATGTGCAGCCTCCAGGGTTTTCTGCTCTTCCCATTTACTGGGGGTGGAAGAGGTGAATAAGTATGATGCGAGGGGTGTGTGTGTGGGCGAGTGATCACATCAGTGATTGTGAACCGATGACATACCTGTAGTCCTCTTACATGCACTTTGTGTTTGCAGATTGAAGATGGAAAAACCCCAAGAAAGTTTCTCAACTAACGACGGCCGTGTAAGTGATATAGTTACAGAAAAGTACGTGGTTGAATCCAAGGAGTCTGCCTCTCATGTTCAGCTTGCCTGCAGCGCGCGGTACTGCGCTTTCCCTCTGCACGGAAACGGACTTTGCATATGGAGCACCGAGAACCCTCCTCATCAGGTATTTAACAAGTTGTATGTACAGTGTCATTGCGCATGTCCTTGATGCTGTTTGGGCATTACTCTCTGTGGACTCAGCTATCAACTACGTGAGAAAAACGTTGATACAACAAAAACATCATATTAAGTATTTATGTTTAGAAAACAAATGGCCTGGAATTACTTAATTAAAAAAAATGTTTCCTCAATTAAACATGAGCAAGAAAAGGTTCATCTTACAATCAAGACTCCCACATTTGGATCTCCAGCTTGACGTTTCTCACCTGAGTACAAAATACTCAGAAAAAAGTGTCCTGCCTGTTAAGTGCACGTTGTGATGACTGTAACTCAGTGCACACAGCTGGGTAACCACCACCCAGGCTGTGCTTCCTCTCCATCAGTCAGTGCCCCTTCTCTCTCTCCCAGGAAACTTCTGATACCAGAGGCTGGTCTTACTTAGTTTTGTTTGAACTTTACGTAAATGAGGTCAAACAATGTGAATGCTTTTGTGCTGGTTTCTTTGATTGGCTATTGCATTTGTGAGAGTCACCCATGTTGTTCATTTTCACTGCTGCACGGTATTTCGTGGAATGGACGGGCCGCTCTCTGTCCTGCCGCGTGGCATGACATCCTACACTGCGCTGCGTGGTGTCACATTGTACGGATAGACCTCGGTCTGTCTGTTCTTCTTTTGGTAGATAATTGATTTATTTCAGTTTTTTGGCTGCTACAAACATTCTTTTATGTGTCTTTTGGTGCACACACGTGCAACTCCTGACTTACAGGGGATGCATATACGGTTCACGGTTGAATGACAGGCATCTGAACTGCGTGGGTACACTTATATGTGGATTTTTTTTTTCAAGCAAATGTGGATCAAAAATACAGTATTTTCTGGGTAAGAAACCACAAATACAGAGGGCTGACTTTTCGTCAGCAGGTGGCACAGGACCAACTGTGGGACTTGATATGTACAGATCTTACCATACGTAAGGGTTCGTGGAACCCGGCCTCCGCACACACCAAGGAGCGACTGTCTTTAGTAGATACTGCCAAGCAGAGTTCCAAAGTGCTTGTACCAATGTGTATTTCTTCAAATGACATACAAGAGTTCCAGCTGGTCCACATTCTCGCCTACACTTGTTGCTTTTAATTTTAGCCCCTCTGGTTGGTGTTGTGCTACCTAATTATAATTTGCAATTCCATAGTGATTAATGAGGTTTTACACCTTTTTGCACATTTAGTAGCCATTTAGGTGTTCTCTTTGTGAAGTATGTGTTCAAGTCTCTTGCCTTTTTTCTATAGGATTATCTGTATTTTTCCTGTTGGTTTGAAGGAGTTCTGTGTATGTTATAAATGTAAGCTTTCTGTCAATTTAGATTAGTTTTCATTTTCTAGTTTTATGTAAATGAAATCGTATAGTAGTTACTCTTTTAAAATGTTTAAATTGATGTAATAGTTGCATATATTTTGGGGGTATGTGTGATATTTGATACATATATGTACAATGTGTAATGATCAAATCGGAGTAATCGTGATATCCATCACCTTAAACATTTATTTTTTCTTAGAGTTGGGAACATTGCAATTCTTCTCTTCTTGCTATTTTGAAATATGTAATAAATTATTACTAACTATAATTTACCTACTGTATTATCAAATACTAGAACTCATTCCCTCTATATAATTGCATTTTTGTACCTCTGAACCAACTTCCCTTCATCCCCCCACCTCCCCTCCCAGCCCCAGTAACCATCATCCTACTCTCCACTTCCATGAGAGCCACTTCTTTATCTCCCACGCACGGCGAGACCCTGCAGTGTTCGTCTTTCTGTGCCTGTGTTATTAGTATTTCACTTAACATAATGGCCTCCAATTCCACCCATGTTGCTGCAAATGACAGGATTTTATTCTTCTGTATGACTGAACAACCTTCCGCTGTGTGTATGTACCATGTTTTCTTTCTCTGTTCATCTGTTGTCAGACACTTGGGTTGATTCCATATCTTGGCTATTGTGAATAGGGCTGTAGTCAACATGGGCTTGCAGATACCACTCTGATACACGGACTTCCTTTCTTTTGGCTGTATACCCAGCAGTGGGATGGCTGGATCGTGTGGTGGTTCTATCTGCAGTTTTCTGAAGAGCCTCCGCACTGTTCTCCAATAGTGGCTGTGCCGATTGACCCTCCCACCAACAGCATGCGAGGGTCCCCTTTCTCCACATCCTTGCCAGCATTCATTATATTTTTTTGGTCTTTTTATTACTATATATTAATAATAGCCATTATAATGGGGCGAGAGCATATCTTATTGTGGTTTTAATTTGCATTTCTCTGATAATTAGTGATATTAAACAGTTTTCATATACCTATTGGCCATTTGTATGTCTTCTTTCCAGAAATGTCTATCCAGATCTTTTGCCCATTTTTAAATTCAGTTATTTTTCTGCTATTGAGTTGAGTTACTCACATATTCTGGTTATTAATCCCCTGTCAGATGGATAGTTTGCAAATATTTTCTCCCATTCTGTGGGTTGTCTTTTCACTTTGCTGATTGTTTTCTTTGCTGTACAGAAGTGTTTTTAGTGTGACATAATCCCATTTGTCTATTTTTGCTTTTGTTGCCTGTGCTTTTGAGGTCTTGCCCTTGCCCAGACCAATGTCTTGTAGTGTTTCCCCAGTTTTCTTTTAGTAGTTCTATACTTTCAGGTCTTACATTTAAGTATTTAATCCATTTTGAGTGAATTTTTGTGCATGGTTAAAGATGAGGATCTAGTTTAATTTTTGTGCATGTGGATATCCAGTTTTCCCAGAGCCATTTATTAAAGAGATTGTACTTTCGCCGATGCATGTTCTTGGTTCCTTTGTCAAAAATGAGTTGGCTGTAAGAGCATGGATTTATTTCTGGGTCCTCTAATCTATTCCATTGGTCTGTGTCTGTTTTATGTGAGTACCATGCTGTTTTGGTTACTATAGCTTTGTAGTATAATTTGAAATGAGGTAGTGTGATGACCCCAGATTTGTTCCTTTTGCTCAGGATTTCTTTAGCTGAGGTCCTTTTTAGTTACCTATGAATTTTAAGATTATTTTTTCTATCTTCATGAAGGATGTCATTGGTATTTTGATAGGAATTGCCTTGACTCTGTAGATCACTTTTGGTAGTATAGACATTTTAACAATATTAATTCTTCCTATCCATGAGCATGGGATATATTTTCATTTTTTTGTGTGTTCTTCCATTTCTTTTATCAGTGTTTTATAGTTTTCCCTGTAGATCTTTTATGTTTTGGTTGAATTTATATTTTTTTGTAGCTCTTGTAGATGGGATTGCTTTCTTGATCTTCTTTTCTTTTTCAGATTTATTGCTGTTAGCATATATAAATGCTTCCAATTTTGGTATATTGACTTCGTATTTTGTAACTTCACTGAATTTGTTTATCAGTTCTAAGAGTCCTTTGGTAGAGTCTTTAGGTTTCTCCCTATATAGGGTCATGTCTTCCACAAGCAAGGATAATTTGGCTTTTTCCTTTCCAATTTGGATGCCCTGTATTTCTTTCTCTTGCCTAATTGCTCTGGCTAGGTCTTCTAGTACTATGTTGCATAACAGTGGTGAAAGTGGACATCCTTGTCTTATTCCAGATCTTAGTGGAAAGGCTTTCGTTTTGCCCCCATTCAATATTATATTAAATGTGGGCTTCTCATATATGGCCTCTATAGTGTTGAGGGATATCCCTTTTATACCCTATTTGTTGAGAGTTTTTATCATGAAGGGATGTTGAACTTTATTGAATGCTTTTGCAGCAACTGTAGAAATGATCATATGGTTTTTGCCCTTGATTCTGTTGATGTGTCATGCATCACATTCATCAATTTGTGTATACTGAACCATTTCATCCTCTTGTTAACTCCTGCCTTATTCTTTTCCTTATTCTTTAAGTTTCAGCTCAGCTGTGACCTCTCCTGGCATGTAGTGGAGACATGATGCACATTTGTTTAATTAAGAAATAACGAAATGGTAGAATGAGGGAAGCTGCATCATTTTATTAGTATGTGATAACGAGTAGGAGTGAAATGGTTCACTTGAGAGAATATTTAGCAGTACACAAGCAGGAATTTTGATGAATAAATTCAAAATGAATATATAAAATAAATATATTTGAAAAATTCAATCTATTCAATTTCTTAGGTTTGAGGATTTTTTGTGCCCTTTTATTTTTTAAATATTATCTGTAATACATGATATTTGTGTTTTTTGTTAATTTTTTCAGTTTCTAATCCTACAAGGACACCGTCAGTCAGTTACTGCCATGGCTTTTGGAAATACGGTGGATCCAGTTGTACTCTGCTCTGCGTCGCAGGATCGCACGATCGTGTGGGACCTGGAGGAGTGCAGAGAGAAAGTGCTTCAAGGTAAATGGAAACTTGAAACATATTTTAAAGATGCACGAAGGGAATACCTCATCCTTAAGTCTACTAGGTCACACCGGGGCCTTGGAGTCATTTTTTGCTCCCTCATCCCTGAAGCAGGCACTCTAGCTGGGTGTTTTGTGCGGAAGCACACCACGCCCCCAGACATGCGGACCTTTGTGGTAAACTGATATCACGGGGTCATTAGTTTTAATCTTATGTAATTTCTTATTTTAAAAACGGAATTTTGTGTAAACCCTAAAACATGTAGGCAAGTTGAAATATTCTTTCCTTTCATGACAAGTGTTTCTTGAGCACATGAAATATTTCAGGCTGGAGACATAGTCCTAGCTCCTGTGGAATTTACAACTTAGAGTTTGAGACAGATAAAAAAACCATGTAAGCCAGAAGGTAAGTAGTTATAAATTGTGGGACATGCAGTGGACAAAGCAAATAAGGTGTTGGCAGAGAGAACAGGGTGAGACGTATTTTATGTAAGGAGATCTCTGGGAGATGACTTTGGATGAACATGAGGAGGGGTTGGATGGGGGAGGGGGTGTTGTGTGTGGGGGTGGGACACACATGGAAGGTGCATGTCCCGTCGACAGGTCCAGGCTGTGGACACCTGGCTGTGGACCTACCTGTCCATGCTGCCCCATCCCAGGCCACACAGGAGTGCTTGCTGTTGCTCGCTGGCGGGGAGCTGCTTGGGTGGCTCCACTTGCAGCTGGGGTCGTGGGGGCAGCTTTGCTCCACACACTTTGTCGCCTGGGACTGGGCTGGCTGGAGTCCTGGAGGGCACGATAGCCCCCAGGCCGAGGCTCAGATGGGCACCCCTCCCTCCTGTCCCCCTGATGTTGGCCAGAGCAGCCATATGGCCCAGCCTGGACCTGGGGTAGACACGAGGGAGACACAGAATGTGGATGTGATGCTGGGAGAAGGTGACGAACTGACCGACACCCGTGGTGACACTCGCTCTAGGGCTGACCCCGCGAGGGACTGTCGTGAGCACACTGCTGGGAAAGGTGCTGTGTTTAAGGTGGAGCCCGGATGACCGTGCTGTTGCCATATGTGCTGGAAACAAAATACTCCTGCTGGGTGTCGAGGTAAGGCCGAGTTCACGTGTGCCGTTGGTGGAGCGAAGAGCCATGGGGCCCTGCACACCATTTTTTCTCCCCTCCTTTTAACTTTTCTGCCCTTATTTTTAGACAATATTTTAAATTTAGCATATTTTTATAAATGTGTTAGGGAAAACAAAGGAAAACATATCTTTATCTTGCAATTGGAAAGCCACTAGAATCAGGTACTGTTTTTTATATAAATCATAAGCCGGAAGGTAAGTAGTTATAAATTGTGGGACATGCAGTGGACAAAGCAAATAAGGTGTTGGCAGAGAGAACAGGGTGAGAAGTATTTTATGTAAGGAGATCTCTGGGAGGTGACTTTGGATGAACATGAACATTGCACTTTATGTGCAATCTGGGTATCAGGGACTACTACAGACATGTTCAGTAAAGTACTCGCTTCTTGGGTATTCTGCTGTAGTGATCTCTTCAAAACCCTCATAGCATGGCGCTTCTGTTTATCTCTTTTATCAAAATTTGCTTTTCATCAAGAATGAGATTTTCTTGCTTATTTCTTAATTGGGATTAGTTTAAGTAAACGTGTTTAAATCTCCTGTTTGACTGGAGCTGGTGCGCTCCGCCCATGGCAACACCAAGTGCTGGAAGCGGGAAGTGGAGTTAGTGGGAATTTGGGGGAACTTTTTGTTCCCTCTGGATTCGTGCTCTGCTTGAGGCTTATTTGGGGATTATCGAAAGCCTGGCAAGATGTCTTGGCTTCAGTTAGCAGAGCTGTTTGCCTGTTACAGCTTTCCTTGCTGTGTCCTTTTTAAAAATTTAGGTTAGGAAAGGTGTTGAGTATAAAATATCAATTGATTATTATGGGTCTAGTGTGTGGTAGGCATTTTGGGGATACTTTTTGTGTTCAAATGGTTTTTGGCCTAATTGTGCAAATTGAGGCTCACAAATAAAAAGGTTCACATCTTAAGTTAAGCCACAGTGGGGGGGGGTGTACCTCAGAGGGAGGTGCAGAGGCTTCAGCCATCTCCGTCAAATAGTCTGCAGAAGTCTCCTGGATAAGTTGGTATTTGAGCTGTAAATATTTGAAATGTTTTATCGTGAACATCTTGTGGTAGTTAAATGGATTAGCATTAGGCTACATCACCATATATAACAAAACTGACCATTAAAATGAAAAGAATTAACATTGTTATGTCGGAAAAAGTAAAACCAAAATGAATTAGGAAGATACTTAAAACTGTCAGTGTGTGAACAGTGCCCCAGAGAGGGAAAATGATCAACGGAGATTAGGTCTCAGCCACACTTCGCAGTCCGTGAACATCAAAAGTGGGGCAGGAGACATCTGTTCCAGATGTGTACACGCCTGTGTAAACCGCTTCCTGCTTCCTTGGTGCAGGAAAAACAAATGTAAGAAGATTTACAGGGGAAAGTAGCTCAGTAGGCATGGGTGCACGGGCTGCCAGGTAACTGAACACGCCCGTGAATAGTTTACATTCCTTTAACAGAACACTCAGCAAGTAAAGATGTATGGAATTTAATTTGAATGACTTCAAATGGATACTGAACACTTTTTGGTAAAGGTACTTTTTAATCAACATGAAATACAAATATAACCATAAAGTATCAAAAGCAAACAACTTAAAATATTTTTCAGGATATACTATCATTCATAAACAATTGACTACCTTTATTTTATAGAAATTGAAGGAAATAGAAATGTATATTTAATAATAGTCTCATAACTGTCCTTTTAGGAAAACACATGTTATAATCTTACCTTTTATTTTTAATAATTTGATGGGAATTGACATAATATACTTGATATTCTAAATTGTATTTATCAACAGCTATATGTTGTATTATTAACGAAAGTCTTCCAGAGTTAAGTGTCTATTTGTATGTTGTCACTGTATATATATATGTGTGTGTGTGTGTGTATATATATTTTTTCTGCACGTATATTAGGGCACACTTCTCTAGTCTAGATTGAATGCTCTGAAGAGCAGGAAAATGCCCTGGTCCTAGGTGCCTGGAATCCCATAGGGATATTCCATGGGAGATGACTGACTTTTGGGAACACCTGATGCTCTCCTACCTTACTTCTCAAGCCATACTGTGGAATTCCAGCTGTGATACTGACTTCTAGGGTGCTGCTGGGCTCCAGGAGGTTTTAGGGATTTGTGGAGCAACGGCCAACTTGCACATAGCCAGTGACACACTATCTTGTTTTATTTTGGTAACGGTGACAGAGAGTAGATGCCGAAGGAGACGGACACAGGGCAGATCCATTGTGATGGACAGGGGAAGGGGAGGGGGATAGAAGGGAAGAGAGAGGTTGGAGCACCTGTTCTCCACTGAGTCCTGACAGCAGAAACAGCCTCGGGACAGCATGCAAGATGTGGGCAGCAGGAAGACAGTAAGTTCTGAGGAGGTGCCTGCTTCGTAACTTGCTTAGGGTCGGCTTTTAAAATTGCTGACAATGTGGCCTGTGATTGCATAGGTTCCCCTCTTAGCCTAGGCCTCTTTATTTTAATGTCTAGGTTTATATACAGGTAATTCCAAATTTGGAAGAAGGAATCATATAAAATAGACTTTGTTTTAATAGGAACTATTTTCTATGATATACATACAACTTGTTGATGATGATAATTACCAGAAAGTTTAGTGACTGTCTTCCTTCCCAAATTCTCTCAGAATCTATCTGTACTGGCCGAGCTGGAGGGCCACCTGGGCCCGGTGACTGCGGTGGAATTCTGTCCCTGGCAAGCAAATACCATCATCTCAGTGTCTGAGGACAGAAGCTTTAAGGTCAGGGCATGGATATTAGACTGCTTTTTGATGTAACAAATGCTTTGGAAAAACACCTGTGGGCACAACGGTGCAGTGCTTTCGGTTTATGGTCACTGCCACATAAGTGGTTCTATTTCTGCCACAATTCTGTAAGATGAGTATTGTCCTGGTTTTGATATAAAAATGAAGCAGTGATGTTTTGCCTGGGGTCACTGGGCCGAAGAGCTGGGCTTGGATCTTATAGGGCGAGCCTTCAGCCTCCCACTTTCCCAAACCCCAGTGCAGGGCCTAGGAGAGCAATAGCATTAACTTATATCCAGCATTTTCCAGGGACCCAGAGCAGAAGAACCAGTCTCCAACATTAGAGGATTCAATCAGAACTAAATTAGGCTTTTAAAAGAAAATAAATTAAAATGCAAGTACAGTTCCCATCCGACACCTGAGTGCGCACCTGCGGGTCAGGGCGTGGGCCTGCCAC